CTGAAATTCATCATCAGAAGAGTCCTCAGAGAGGAAGACTGTATAGTGTCGCATTGGCTTTACAAGGCTGAGGGAAACAGGAAGAGAAAAGGAAGTTATCAAGTTGTCACATTCAAAGCTCCAGAGGAGAAAGAAACCAAGTGATTCGTAGGCTCTAAATCATTTCTGAACATGACTGACTGCCACCACAAAGAGCTCTGGAGGTAAATGTTGAGCTCTACTTTTCAGGCAGAAAATACAACTCTTCTAAAAACGTCTAGGGTGCCACCCAGTTGGGAAAGGTACAAAGGCCTGCAATCACACCCATATTGCAAAAGTAGCCAATACAGAAACCTATCTTTTCCCCACTAAATTTTCTAGGGAGTTGAGCAACTTTTTGTTCTTTAGAAATACATCTTTGCTGCTCAGATTCTCTGAGCTCTGACCACAAGCAAACAAACATTAGATCTACCTCTCTGCTTTACAGATATTTAGACTGACAGTCTGATATATGAAGGGGCTGACTTGCGGGTAACAATTTCTACTTGTATCTGGTTTTGAGATCTGAAATTGCTTCACACTATAATAAAACCAAAGCTGTCCAAGGATTTCTATGAAATGCAGTTTGTCAAGTAAGATGTATATGTTTCTTTCCTCAATGGTTAACGACTTTCAAAGTCTGGCAGAAAACGGACGCAAGCTAATTTCTCTTGCAGCACAGGATGGCAACTATCAATCTATGAATTCATTAGCAGCAGCCTGGAACAAAAATCCTTTCAGATGCAAACTTCTTAAAATCAGAAGTGCTTCTGGAAACACACTTTAGCTGCAATTAAAAACAACCTCCCCCAAAAAACCCGCAAAACCCCACCCAACAACAACAAAAAAACCCAAACACCCTCCCTCCTCACCAAAAATATTTCACCAGACTTTGGCAAGAACATATTAGTCATTTTTATTTTACACACAGAGGTCAGATCTCCAGGATTTGCTCTTGTACCTAATGAAAACAATCCCTAAATTTTTAGTAAACGTACAAGGAGTTGCGCACGCCTCTATAGGTCTGGGTAAACATACACTGGTTGGGGGATAAAAGAAAAAGATTTAAAAGCTCACTGAATTTATTATTTTTTTTTTCTATTATTTATTGTAACTATCAGTTGCTTCAGTTTCACCAAAAACCCAGTAAATTACTCTTTTCTGCATAAAGTTGAAGCTTCTGAGATTCACTGTTAACACTGGAGCAAATTCAGGAGTGGCTATCACTGCTTTAAACAATTAAATGCATTATGAGCTTTAGTGGAATAGGAAAGAGGACAGGAGCAGGATACTTAAGCAGCAAGACATTGGAACGACAAGGTTGAAGAGTATGAGGAAATTAATAGCAAATATTGCCTCATTTCTAATGCTAAAATATCTTAATCTTTAGTACAGTACGAAGCAAGAGCCACTGTTCATTAACCTCTGAAACACTGAAGCTCTGGATGGCAAAAGAGCTTATAGAAAATATATTCTCACAAATTAAATATTAAGACAAATGCTTCACAACTAAGTGAAAGCAGTAAAAACACATCCAGATTTAGCATCACTAATCAGAGGCCTCTACACTACAGCCCAGTGCTCTTCAATCTACTAAAACTCAAGGACAACAGTGTGTAGAGCCACCAAAATTATACACACTTATAATAAAACATATAGTCAATTTTAAACAGCTACTTATTCTCCCCATTCAGTTGCATTCCGGCATATCTAAGTGTGTATGAATGGAAATGAAAAAAACCCAAGAAAACCTCTTTTCAACGGCATTATAAACCACCTTTACGTCTCTTATGGACCAAACCACAGGCTGATGAACACTGATGGATGTTGCTAGAGAGCATCATTTACAGGTCTCTCTTCTTCCCCCCATCACTAGAACAATGGAAAAGAAATCACTAGGATCATAAAAGCAAACATTGTCTCTAGTCACCCGAATGAGGTCTCTTCCCAAACATCTTCATTTTATCAACCACATATCACTGATAAAATCCTACTTATGGTAGTGAATCAAAACATACATCGTGAATGACACAAAGCAATACAAATTGAGATGGGGAGCCTAATTTTGCTACTACTGAGCTCCAGAATAAAATTTGTTATTGCAGTGCAAGCAGAATCAGGCTTATCACATGGGACAAAGGATCAGTGCCGACCCTGTAGACATCGTCTGGCAATGCAAATGTATCACACCACTACGTACGTTATAGGTAAGTCAAGGTTATGCTGAAATCAGAACAGGACCAAAAGCATGGATAGAAAGAGAAAGAATTTGATTTGTTACCTTTATAGTACAGATGTACTAACAAACTACTGCTAGTGGCACTTGAATTCATAATCTGCCTTCACTCTTTTAGTTCTTTTGTCTCAATCACTGAACAACTGTATAGTAAAGTTACAAAAATCAGTCTAAAAGATTAGGTCATAAAAAGAGAAGTCGGACACTGCAACTGACAGCTGACAAGGGCCTGAGCTGCCGCTGTGAATAAATGTTTATTCACAATCAGGTCAGAGCTAATTAATAAAAAGTCTAAAATAGTGGTGGCAGTGGATGCAGCTGATAGTGTTAAATCATAGTCTGTGGTACTCCAATTAAAGCTGTTGCACGGCTGTTCTTTTCCTCTCTCCTGCTATAATAGGCATCCAGGGAAAGTGAGGTGGTGCCGCTGCATTGGGGAAAAAACTGCTATGACTTTTTTTTTAAACTTTTTTTTTTTTTAAGAAAATTACTATTATCCAAAAATTTCAATTTACATTAACAAAAGTCTCCACCTAAAATAAATCAGAAAACAAAGATACTTTAAAAATATTTCATTTTTTAATTTATATGCACATCTTTTTGTCTTAGGAGAGCAAAATATCATTTAACATGATTCCAGAAAATCTAAAATCATTTCCAGAAATCAAGAGCGATGCTGAATTTCCACATATCTTGCCGATGCACTCAATGTTTGGTAAGTGCATATAATAAATGGATTGGTGTAGTTGCCCTTAAAGCAGTGCCTCTGACACCTTTTGTTTGCATCCAGACTATGCTAAATTCAAATGTATCATGTCTGTGTGCACATTTTAAATAAACTGGGCACAAACTATGAAGAAATAAGATAGGATCTTGTTGGCTAGATCATCAATTGCACTTCAGAGCAGCTCAGTACAAGGAAGAGTAAATATATAGCCAGTTAATATGCATCGGTTTTGTTGCTGTTGCAAGACTCCTTAAATGAAAGTGGGATCTCATAATTAGAAAGAAGAAAGCAGTTAAGTTTCACTGTTGGTGTGCTCTGTAAGAGATTTCAGTCCAAGATCAGGGATGAACAATCTAAAATTGTCCACGTCTAAATTTTTTATTAGCTTGAGGCAGTAGAATCCAAAAAAAGTGCCTATTCCCTCATTAACCCAATTCGGCAACTCTCCTGCAGTCTGCCACCCACCACTTGCTAGAATTTCATACACAAAGAGCTGTCTCTGAAAAGGCAGGTCACAGCAAGCCTGGCTACAAGGCAGGCACTGCTGCAGTCTTAGAGGGAAAAAAGGATGTGTCCGTCACAGCTACAACCCTCATCATCTCCACATGACTGCACCAGCTCCTGCCTACCTAATCTCTTAGCTGAGTTACCATGCAGATGACTTGCTGATCTCTTTCTAATGTTTAGTTTAACATGTCTTCGGTTAGCACTAGCATATGACAGTACTGACAGCCGTGGCTGTTCCTTTTTAAATATCATGTCAGAAACACAGTGCAATAAAGCTGGGGATGCGCTCCATGGCTCTGCGTACCATTATGATAGTATGGGGTTCTTTTTTAATGAGGAAGATCTGCATCTCGGGAGCTTTTTTCATGTGTCAGGATGCATGGACAAATCAGCAGCACATCACACTGGCCAAAAATGAAATGCTGACAAATGTAGATATTTCAAATTTAATTGACACCTAAATGTACTTGAGATAGAAGAAATATATACAGAAAATGTGAGTACAGGATATGGGAATTAATAAGGAGAATTCTGTAATAATTTTAAAAGATATTGCAGTTATGAAAAAATTAAATTTGTGTATTTTATTAACTGTGTTGCTTTTTCCTGATTATAGAGCTTATGGTACAAAGGGGTAGTATGGACTTGTTGTCATTATTCTCCTAAAAAAGGGCTTCCCAAATCTGAGGGAGGTTTTTTTCTTTTATTAATGTATTTTTTAAAGAATAGCTATACAGTAGCTCTAGGGAATTAAGGAATTTGTCCCTCTTAGACAGTAAAATTAAGAAAATGAGGGATTTGAATGCATTGGCTTTTTCTTGCCAGTATGAAATAGGAGACTTGGGACTGAGGGGATTACCTAGTAACTATTCAATCTGAACAAAGCACAGACCTATCACTGGAATTCCTTCCTGCATATTCTGAATACTCAGTACACCCGAGTGTGAGCTAACAAAAATCTTAAAATATCTATTTGATTTTTAAAGTTTCACTTTGTATACCGTGAATGTTCATAGGAGCAGAATATTTCCAGAAAAACAAAAACATTAGGATAAAGTAGATTTTAAATTAAAACAATAAAAATAATTCATGTCACAAGTCACCCAACCAGATAACAAAACTAACAGCTTGCAATCACTACACCCAGTAAAGGAAGGTAACTAATTGTTTTATAGTTTTTACAAACTTTTAACAATTTTTTCTAGAGAGTTGGAAATATTAACAAAGAATTTGAAGCAGGAACGAGCTGGATGACACCTCTGCCTGCTCTAACAGATCTAGATGCAAAGTTGTTTCACATTTTCGTACTATTACTCCTACTAAGGACCTAATCACCAATTTCCCTGCAGATACCGTCTCTCTTTACAAAGGCAAGCTGCATACATTTGGTAGGTTCACTCCAAAGCAGACAGAAGAAATAGGCCCCAAAATTAAAGTTTCTTGTAAACCTTCATACTGGACAGGTAGGAGAGC